TTTAGTTTAGTTTAGTTTAGTTTAATTAATTCGCCAGTAAATTACAATAACATACATATATAACAAGTTACAAGTTTACTAAACAGACGACTGGCAGGAGTTAGATACAGGACTAATGTCCCAGTTGCCATCCGATTAAAAACAACAACTGAATATCTCCTGTAATATACTTTATTTCGATTCCATATTTTTGTCAGAGCTATAGTTCTCATAACCAAACATAATTACAAAAATTCAACTAGTTTCATAAAGAATAACGAAAGATATAATTGACTGAATACATCAAAATGGATTTCTATTCGGACAACCCTTTCTGAGCGCTGATTGGCTAAAATACGAACACGAGATCACCTGGATATTTTACAAGAAAATGACCATGCACCACTCCAGGTAAATTGCTAATTATGCATAAAATAACTAATATGCCTGGCAGAAATTAAATGTTCTTATTTCCTAAAAAAAATTATCATGGGATGAAAAATTATGCTTAATTTAATATAATTATCGTAGTTTTCATAAGGATTGTCATTGTTTTCTTTAAATATAATACATTTTATTTCACTCACCCCCCACAAAAACACGATTTCAGCCATATTTTGCCGTCTTGTTTGCTTTTTATCGCCGAGTCTCGCAAATATCATCCAGTTGTTGTACTTTTACATAATGATAAATGGCTAAAGAAGATTTCAACCAAGTTTCATCAGTGCAATGTATTTTATCTTCGATATTGTGTCCTTCGATATTTCGTCAAATTGCCGCCATTTTAATGGCTCGCCGCTTCCCTGCCCGATAAATGCCACTTCTTCGTTTTCATATGTATTTTGATTATAGTATCCAAAAGTACTTCATTGTAGAATAGTCCCAATCGAAAAATTGAAAACATTAGTTCCATTTGGAAGGAAAACCCTCCCGTAAACCATTTAGGTTCAAAATAAAAAACAAATGATTTGAAAGTCACGCGCAATCTTCGCAAAAACTTCTCGTGGACACATGACAGGGGGGGGGGGTGAATATTTTCACGAAACATTTGTTCGCCACCACAGCAACCTAACTAAATACTTTATATTTATTGTATTTTTATGATTTATGATAAAAACAATAAATATTTTTGTAGTTTTATCATAAATCATAAAAATACAATAAATATAAAGTATTTAGTTAGGTTGTTGTGGTGGCGAACAAACGTTTCGTGAAAATATTCACTCCCCCCTGTCATGTGTCCACGAGACGTTTTCGCGAAGATTGCGCGTGACTTTCAAATGATTTGTTTTTTGTTTTGAACCTAAATGGTTTACGGGAGGGTTTTTCTTTCCAAATGGAACTAATGTTTTCAATTTTTCGATTGGGACTATTATACAATGAAGTACTCTAGTACTGTAATCTAAATACATATGAAAACGAAGAAGTGGCATTTATATCTGGCAGAGAAGCGGCCATTCTAATGCCGCCATTTTAATGGCGGCAATTTGACGAAATATCGAAGGACACAATATCGAAGATAAAATACACAACTGGATGATATTTGCGAGACTCGGCGATAAAAAGCAAACAAGACGGCAAAATATGGCTGAAATCGTGTTTTCGTGGGGGGTGAGTGAAATAAAATGTATTATATTTAAAGAAAACAATGACAATGCTTATGAAAACTACGATAATTATATTAAATTAAGCATAGTTTTTCATCCCATGATAATTTTTTTTAGGAAATAAGAACATTTAATTTCTGCCAGGCATATTAGTTATTTTATGCATAATTAGCAATTTACCTGGGGTGGTGCATGGTCATTTTCTTGTAAAATATTATATTTATTATTTAGACAAATTTTTCCTTCCATTAACCACCCCTAAAAGCAACCCTTCTAAACACCATAAGCACTTCAGGAAGGCTGTCGCTTTTCGTTTTCGGAAGTTGGAGCTATGTCGACACTCGGCCGTTTCAGGGCGGGGTCATTTTCAGGACTTTCGCCCCGGATTCGGGTTTTGGCACATATGCCATGTTGACCGCCATGGTAATTTTACCCCGTAAAACAGTTGAGATTACCTGTGCTAAATGAAACGCAAACAAACATCTATACAGGTCCTAGACTAAACATATATAGAGAATAATACATGGGTGCGCGGAAATACCAGATTTATTTCGCTGAGTGTTGAACATGATATCTCACAAGTGAGATATCATGTTCAACACGAGAAATAATTCTGGTATTTCCAAGCACCCATGTATTTTTCTGTTTATTATATAAACAAAATTCAGTGAAAAACAATAAAACGTCCGTGGCAATGCGTTTTACAACAAATGATATTTTCACACGTAAAAATATCGTATTTTTTACATGTGTTTAAATACGATTTTTCTCAGTGGCTAAAAACTCTATATAACACTTATGTTTATATAATAAACTGTATTACTGCACTCTCTATAGCTATTAGCCATAAACAAAGGAGAAGTACAAAGAATCAACAAATATATACAGTACAAAGAATCGTCCTTAATTAATAAATGTTCCAGAAAAATCCCCAGCATGCATGTTTTGGAACAAATCTGTCTCACATACTGTGTGTATTAACATATACATTATTAATACTAATAGCGTGATTTAATTGTAACGAAATAGTAAAGGGTTTCATTTCATTTACAATAAACCCTGATAAAAAGAACAGCTGGTGGTGAACAATGTTAGCAGAATCCTCCCCATGACCAGTCATGTTGACGACCTATCCGACAGATTATTGTCAAATACACAAAATACCCCGCAGTGCATGGCTTTACAATTTTATCGGAACAATCAAACAACTGAATGCTTATAGGGTCAAAATGGCTAAACTGAAGTCAAGGTCTTGTACTGTCAGCCCTTGAAACTCCCGAAATTTCAGGTCGGGATGAAATTGCCGACCTAAAGGCGATAAATTCTCTATCTAGGTCGGCAAATATTTTCAAAACAACTAGACAATATCCAAATGAAAATTTAATTTGCTTGTTGGCAATTGTTGCAAATACGCGTATTTATAAACAGCAATTAATTGCAATCAATGCCAATAGCAAACAAAACAACTAACAAAATATAAAGTTTGTTCGTTCACTGCAACCAGGTATATCAATCATGTTTCGCTCGCTACTCTGGTTTAAATAAATGATTACAAAGCCCAGTCGAATTGTAATCAAGACCCAACGTTTCGACACTCCAGTCTAGTGTCTTCATCAGGGGTGATCTAAAACTGTGATCGTGGCTTCTTAAATACCCAAGGGATGACGTCACCTGCCAAGAAGATGCATATATTCCTCTGGCAAATAGGCGCATTTTGTGAATTCTCCTACATATGGAGTTTCAAGTTTTTTGGCGAAAATTTTGTCCCCTGTGGTGGGAAATACCGAAAACACTGTAAAAAATTCCTGTCATTTTGCAGAATTTGTAAGAGGTAAAACTCTTAAAGCAGATCAAGTGTTGGTATCATTTGATGTCGTTTCCTTGTTTACAAATATCCCAGTTGATCTTGCCATCAAGGTTGCGGCAAAAAGACTAAGACAGGATGCCACTTTGTTACAAAGAACATCCTTGCCTGTAGAAGATATTATTGATCTTCTGTCTTTTTGTCTCAACGCCACATACTTTGTGTTTGAGGGCTGTTATTATCAACAGGTTTTTGGAACAGCGATGGGGTCACCAGTTTCGGCAGTAATTGCTAATTTAGTAATGGAAGATGTCGAACAAAGAGCTTTAGCCTCTGTTCCGGTGTCCCTATCGTTTTGGAAACGTTTCGTCGATGATGTCATCTCTGCGGTTTCTACAAATGAGATCGATATTCTGCTGCAACATTTAAATTATTGAGCCGTCCATCCAATTCACGGTAGAACGTGAGATAAATGGACATTTAGCTTTTTTAGATTTGAATGTGCACAGAACTGTCGAAGGGAAGTTAGAGACTGATGTTTATCGCAAACCCACAC